CCCCACTAGACAGTACCAAAAACATGGCACACGAATTGGTAGCAGTAGATATAAATAGATTACGCTTTCTCGTACTTGAATTGGCAGTCCAGCATCTCGCTCCAATTCGCCGAAAATCCTTGGATGCAGTCATAATGAATGCTCACGAACTACCTGCTGTAAAGGGTTTCATCGCTGAGTTTGGCAAGAAGACGTTACGTGCAGGCGACTATATATCGTACCATTCACCAGGCTATGGGGGTGACAACATGGTTCAAGCTCGCATACTGGCCATTGACCCTGGTGATGATAGATACCCGTTAACGCTCGACAGGAGAGTTACTGATTACAACATGAAAGATTAGATCCGACAAAGACCCCCAAGGGCAACGACAGCTACACAACATTCGCACTTTCAAACTCGTGAAAAGTTCAATTTCCGCTCAAACCCGTCGTGAGCAGTTCGCAGAAGGAATTCGCGATCTCCCAGAAAAATAATGGCAGAATTAAACAACAAGAGACACACAAAACGTTTGGAAGACTTGAGTAACTACAACATGAGCAATGGTGATATATCCTCTGGTTCGGGCTCCAACTCTGATACTGGTATGGCTAGTGCCCAAGAAACGCCCTGTCCTCAATCTGTTTGTTCGGCTGCAGCAGCAGCGAATGAACGGTCTGTTGCTCTAGTGTCTTCTTCCTTTCATACTCAATCCAATAAGTATTTTTTCAGGTTCACCCCACACAAGCGTTTTCGTCTCCAGAGCATGCTAAAGAGTTGCTGAACAACTTTGCAAGAGGTTGTGACTATGCTCTTGTGATTGAGCGATCGGTCCCAGATAGAAACAAAGTTAAGTATCGAGTCATATTTGCTTGTGACAGATATGGAGTGTTTAAACCCACCATCAAAGCAGGAAAAGCTACAAAGCGTCGACAAATTCGGCGTCCCGAAAAAGTGGTTGTGAAATGAAAATTAATTTGTATCTTAACCGCGACACGAATGCATGGTATCTTCATTATGACGAGTCCTTTCGATGGCATCGAAACTTTGATGGGAGTGAATTATGGCACAACCCCAGGCCCTCAATGGTCTCTTCTTCGCATCCCGAACACCGCAAAGCAGAGATTACAACAGCAATTAGAGAATCGATTGTACAAGACGCTCAACTGGGTATTAAGCCATCCCGTACGATGGGCCGCATTTTGGAAGGAAATCCAAGTTCGGCTATCGTAATGAAAGACATCTCGAATATCATACATGCAGAAAGACATTTGTCTGCCGATAAAGACAGATCAAGAGTTGAATATGTAAGGAAGCGTCTTGTGTAGCTCGATGGCAAAAGAAAAGTGAGCTTTATTGATAACTTA